TCACGGTCGCGTTCGCGATCGCGATCACGATACGCGATTCACGGTCACGGTCGCGGTCACGGTCACGGTCTCGGTCTCGATCGCGGTCACGGTCGCGGTCGCGATCTCTGTCGCGGTCTCTGTAGCCCAATCCTCCGCGGTTCCTATCCCTATCGCGATCTTTGTCGCGGTCCTCCCTGTCTCTGTCCCGCCTCCTATCGAGCATAGATTCCCGTTTCTCCTTGCGCCTCTCCTCAACAGTCTTCTGGAGTTCGGCGAGCTTTTCGCGGATCTTGATAAAGCCCAAATGCAACTTTCCACCGAAATGATCCGCCAATCGTCTATCATTATCGTGTATTCCAAGATACGCGCTGCACACTTCGCACACTCTAAGCTTCTGTTGCTGATAACTCGATGCCGGCATGCTGTTTCGATATTCTTGTTCCGCTTCGTTCTTCTTTTTGCGCAGCTCGTCGATCTCGCCCATCAGCTTCATTGATTCTTCGACAAAGCCTTCCTCGCCGAGCTGTTCGGCTTTGGCTAGTTTCTTACCAATCTCCTCGGCGAGCACATGGACGTTGTTCGCCTTTGCCGCAACCTCTGCGCTCAGTTCCTCCTGCGTTTCCGCCAGCCGCTGTTTCGCTTGCTCTGTCCGACGATCACAATCGGCGATAAAATTCTGAAGATGTTCCATCGCCTGGAAATTCGAGAAAGATATATTAACAAATTTCAATCAAAATTCTGATAAAATTTTTTGACGAGCCATAAATCGTCATATACAATGACTATTACATTCGATTACTGAAATTCAATTTTTTTTAATCATAGTTATATAGATATTATTATATAATATTATATAATATTTATATAACATTTATATAATATTTATTATATAATAATATTTATATAGTCATGATATAATGATAATTACACAGAGAGAATGATTTCTTTAATAAATTAAGATTTAATAAATTTATTAGATTCAAAAAAATTTATCATTTGAAGTATCCAAACAAACCAATTAGCGATTCAATTGTTCGATTTTTCAAATAATAAATAGCTTTATTTTAAGTAAAATCTTTATTCACTAAATTGTTTAAAAAAAATAACGTTCTTTATAATATGCTCCAACAATATTAAAGAATCTCTTTCTTTCATTGAAACGATATTTAAGCTAACAAAATATTATTTAGTTTAAAGGTAAATTTTATTTTCTTTAATTAATAGATTTTTTTCTATTAAACAACATGGTATATTCTAAGGAAACAACAAAATTCTTAATTTAAAAAAATGACTGTTTAAGGCTCGATTCTCTCGCGGCGCGACATGGGTTGTGTGACGTCAGAGATGAGAAATGACATGTAAAAAGTTTCTTGTGTCATATAGCTTTATCTAGTATTTTTCCCTTAAAAACATATTTTCGTATTCTTAAAACTTGTAAAAAATACCAAAAAGTAAGATATCTGTCCAATAAATCGCGTAAAAGTGTAAAATAATTCTTGAAATAATGATTATTGCTCAGCTATCACAACTAGATCTAGTGATTTCTGATAATTTCTTAATTTTTTAAGAATATGAAAATATCATGTTTTTAAGGGAAAAGTACAAAACAAAGCTATACGACGCAAGAAACTTTTTACATGTCATTTCTCGCCTCTGACGTCATAATTCAATATGGCTGCAGAGACAATCGAATCTTAACATAAAATTATGTTGTCCAAATTAAATAAATTCAAGTCAAATAGATAGAATTACTAAATCTAAAGAAACTTTTTTCTCAGTGTATATATTATTAATTAAATAAACAAAGATATATTAAATAAATAATAATAATAATATAGATAATAATTATATTTTATTTAATATAGATAATTTGAATAGAATAAGAGCCAGAATACTCACGTCAATATCATAGAAGTGATCTCTCTTCTTTTGGGCAGCTTCGTAGTCAGCCCGTAGGGCCAAGTCGTGAATCTGGGGGCATTCTCCCAGGTCCATGCGCTACGATTTACAAATCAAATCGTGATTAGATTTACGATCCCTCCGATCGCACGCGGGCCTTATCGATTCTATGCGTTATACAAGTTAGAGACCCTTCCCAACATTGCGTATTTACGAGATACTTCTTACTTGACAAGAATATACAACGTACTTGGTCGCGATGCCGCGACTGGAAAATAGCACGAATCAATAATCTAGGAGAGAGTCAGAGATGTAATACGACAAAAATTCTGAGCTTATAAACGCCTGTATCTTTAGGATAAGACGGTCCAAATCTTATCTTTTTTTTTTGTTTTTCTTTTCATTCATTTTTCACGTTGAACTCACGGAAACGATTTGAGAGTTCGTCTCCTTGCACAGCTAGGATAGAGCGTACAATAATGAAGCGATCGAGATCGCCAGGCGATCTAGTATCGCGCGTTAAAGTAGAAATGCAGTTTGTACAGATAAATAGTTTGTTGTTTTCACTTACAGGGTGGCAACAGTTTCTCCGCCTGACACGAGAATGCGATGGCAATGAAGCTATAATCAGCACACACCTTAAGTTTCATAATGTTCACTTTTTTCTACGAAAGAGAACTTACAGCCTATAATGGTTTAATATACTATTTTACGTACGGCACGTATCGTGTCTTACGTTGGCTGCTAAACGGATTTTTAGAAAAATACGGATTCAATACGTACACATCCAATGGTTGAAGGAAATTTTTCTAATGGAACTGGCGCTTGTTGTACTAATCCGCCTAATCACATGTCTCTCTCTGCGTCATGCCACCTTTCTCATTTTCTCTTGCCGAGACACGTTTGGATGTTGCAAATTGCCAAAGGTATCAATAAAGACAACGCGCAAACGAATACCGAAGGTATTTTATCAAAAAAATCTTCCCGATCACAATTTTATCGTTGATTGTATTAAAGCCGCGTTTCTTAATCAAAATCAACATTAGTTTCAAGACTAGTAAAAATTTTGTTTTCTTTGTTTCGCAACGGAAAATCATGATGGAAGAATCCTCCCCTGACGAAACGCTCGCTTAAAAAAAAAAACCAGGGAACGGCGTAAGGTACTTGGCAATTCGCAAATCTTTTACTTACAGATCACTGCTTCATTTCCTGCACCCATATACTTCCATAGGATGATATATATTTTCTCACACACATTCTCAAAGTAAACTTCTCATTCCTACCTGCCGTAAACGGCATTATTAGTAAGAAGCGACATTAAGACATCGTCTCATGAATCAGCATGACGCTACTCACCGACTCACTGTTTACAGGCCTTTTCGAGGGGGTTCTGGGAATTTATTTTTTCGGCACGTTTTACTCAGCCTCACCACCGTGCGGAAAAAAAACCGGTAGAGGGGCTGAAGTAACCGCCCGCCCTTACGTCTCTCATCGAATCAATATATATATATATATATACTATATATATATATATATATATATATATATATATATATAGATATAGATATATATGTATATAGATATAGATATGCATATTATATGTATATCTAGCACTTGAATTATGATAAAGGTAAATCAAATTGTAGGTGTAATACGTACGTCCTCTTCTCGTTTTCAGTACTTACAGTAACGCGCGTGTGAGAGTGACAAGTACAACACGGACATATGAGCGGACAATACTCGCAACAATATTGTACAATGGATCTGATTGGAATTGCTTTTTCCAGAGACTCTGGAAATAGAACTGTAGTTACGTTGACATTAGTGGATCTGCATATCAGCATATCTCTCGTTTGAGCGATTTCCGTTAGTTATTTTTCATCGTGTGTCTTTTTTTTTTCCTTAATATTTCTTTGCTCTCTAATACTCTCGTTTTCCTTACTTACTTTTCATATAAATCGTATCGCGGGACCTTCAGGAGAGTTTGCTATCCCTCACCGCTTACATTCTAATGTATTCTCATATATTTCCGCGACATAATGCGTATCGAAAATATTTTATGATACGATCTAAAATATTTTCATTCTGCAAAATGTCACATTCTAAAAGCGTTGATTTTTGTTCACGTTCGTTTACACTTTAGAAAGCAGAATCACCAGTGTCAATTTCTTTACATTTGCAAATTCTATCGGAATTTGAATCTAAATACAATTTAGATTGATCGAGAACATGAAGAATAGAATGAAGACGACATGTAGAATAGAATGAAATCTCAAGCTATATATTTTTATCCGCGAAGAATTTAATTAAAATTTTTTAAATGAAAGCGAGAGACACGGATGGAAATGTAAGAGATACATCGTTTTGATGAGAAAAAAAAATAGAATAAATTAATCAGAGATAATAAACCCGTTCGAGACGAAACTAATTACTAACTTGGGACTCTCTTACTTCTATAAATCCGATATAAGAAAACTCAGTAAATCTTTCGAGATTCTTTAAATCATCAATCAATGCCAGCGACAGACCCTCGAGATCTGCACACATAGGCGCCGAGTACTCGTGTAAAATAAATTCCGATATTTGCAGATGGCATTGAAAACTGACTGATTAAAGATTAAAAAGTAACTGCGCTTAGGGCGAGCGCTGGCATTTCCCGAGTAAAGAAACTTTCCCACGTGAGTAGCTGCCTGAGAGACAGAAAGTGTGAGAGAGAGAGAGAGAGAGAGAGAGAGAGAAGCGCGCGTAGAAGTTTTAAAATGTCTGTTACGCGGACTATAATAAGCTATAATAGAAACAACTTGACACAGTTATTCCAGATGACGGCGTATATCGGAGCATCGATCTTGTTGTAAAACTTGAGGCGCCATAGTCCGAGGGGTAGCTCAGGCAGCCTCGTGTAGGAGGAATGCAAGAGAGAACGAGAGCGCGCGCGTGCGCGCGCGCGCGAGAGAGAGAGAGAGATAGAGAGAGATAGCAAACACCCCTGTGACAATTCGCATCAAGATGGCACTAAAATGCGCGAAGCATTGATTACAGTTCACTTGTTGTTAATCTATCGTCAATTTATCGTTAATTTATCGTTAATATGCTGTTACGGATAAGTGTTGCTCGATCGACCGCATATATGCAGAAACGCGATTGCATTTTCATTTAAAGTTATTATAGTCACCCGTGCTACCTGATACCATTGCATTGGGGATTGTGATGTTTTGAGATATATATCGTATATATGTTAAATATATCAGGATGTCCACTTAAAATTTGTAAAAGAATTCCCAGATTTTCCCAATTTCTGTTCAAAATTCCAAAATTCTTAAATGCAATTAGTTAAGATAAGTTTATTTTATTTCAACATTTTGTAATTATGAAAATCATTTGTAATCATGAAAAAAAGTCGCTTAATATTTAGATATAAATTATATATAAACACTCTAGTTTATATCTAGTTTAACACTCTAGTTTAGATCGCTCTGCTGAGAATATAGGATTTTCTTTACAGAAACAAGTCCATATAAATATCTTTATCACGTTGTAAAAGCAAAATTATAAAAAATTTGTTTACCAATATTTTCCATGAAATACAAAATTCAATGTCAAATATAAAATTTCAAAAAATAAAATTCCATAGAATACTCAATTTCAAGAATAAAAATGAAATTTTCTAAGACTTATAAGTTTTCTAGATTTTCCTAGAGAGAGTAGACACCCTATATATTACACATATATAAGTAGATTCACGATGCGTTCTGAGGATTAGAACAGACAAGACTGCGCTCTGCGATTCGAAAGAGAAGCATAGAAAAATGCATCTAAAAATGGATGTAATTTCGCGTTCACACTTTCAAGTCGCGCAAAGTTTATTGACTGTTCCAAGCCTGTACTACCGCTCTAAAGTATTTACCTCTTTTGAGATTTTTAAATCATGTATCTTTTTTATATATTTAAATATTTTCATTTTAATTTTCTGTTATTATGATTTCTGTTGTATCTTCTTTTTATATATGTACAATATTTTAATACAATATTTAATACAATATTTTAATTTAATACAATATTTTAATCCACTAAATATTGTGTGATATATAGAAGACTAAAAAGAAAAATTGAAATCTTTTTCTTGTTTGAAATAATGTTTCTATTTAGAGCAATGTATTTTTTTTTCCTTCCCCCTTTTTTCCATCATTGAGAACAAGGTGTTGTTCATTTAGTATGGCAAATTATTACCAATTACCTATTTTTTTTATTTCTAAACGTTATTCCGCATCATAATTAATAATTAAAATAATTACACAAGACAATTAAATTTTAATATTCATATTAATATTTAATATTCGTTAGCATTATAAAAAATACCTATAAAGAATAAAAATAATTTTCTCCAAAATTGTTTATTATACTTTGAAATCTCTATTATTTAATCAAGAAAAGTAAAATGAGCAAATACTTTTGAGCGGTTGTGTCGTGAGTGAGTGAGTGAGTGAGTGAGTGAGTGAGTGAGTGAGTGAGTGTGAGTGAGTGAGGGAGTGAGTGTGAGTGAGGGAGTGAGTGTGAGTGAGGGAGTGAAGACGAGTAGTATGTGTGCGTGCGTGCGTGCGTGCGTGCGTGTGTGTGTGTGTGTGTGTGTGTGTGTGTGTGTGTGTGTGTACAGCAATTAAAATGATCCCGTGTTGCACTTCGACGGTATCCAGGATGAAACTGATTATAATTAAGTCCTACGATCGAATAAAAATAAGACAAAACGCTTTCTTTTCGGCACTTATAATCCTTATTTATAAATTCGCTTAAATAGTCCCACAATAGTCTTACAGTCTACGAATAATACTTAACGTCTATGTGCGATACTGAACACACCGATTGGCACAGATAAAAACAAGCGCTAGCAAATGGATTTCTGATGACTCGCTATATGAAAATCTGTCTGTACAACTAAGTTTTAATATCTATTTCTAATGTACCTTAATTTTTTAATCCCGGTTTAATTTACTCTTCATCTTTTTCTAATTATGCAAAAATTATGCAAACTAAAAAAAAGATAGTAAGTTAAACCGAGATTGGAATAACTTACATTGTTGGAAATAAATAAGTTTTACAGGCGAGTGATAATTTGTAGAAAAAAGCGAAAATGCTCTTCAATTTCTACATTCACATGAGATACTTAATGTTCTACATACATTCTTCTACTTGATTTTAAATCAAGTTACACCTTTATAAGCGAAGGGATATTCTGTAGTATGTGTGTGTGTGTGTGTGTGTGTGTGTGTGAATGTAAATGAGTGCTAAATAAGTCCAATATGTGCATATACGTTTATGACTATGGAATACAGACGACCTTCCATTATCAATTTATCGCCCTTTATGCCATTAAAATGGACGGTCTTTAATATGGTCTGATTTTATCACAGTGGGCAGCGAGTAGCGCGATGTTACATCAGGGAAAACAAGGCGAGTGAATGTAATCGCATAATAAAATATATTAACAGAATTAAATTTAAATATTTTAAAAAAATTCAATTTTTTAGGTTCCTCCAGAAAAATTATCACTTTACATGCTGATAAAATGTCCACTCACATATTGATATATATATATATATTTTTGTATTTATACCTTTGCGTAGAAAATAATAATAATACCATTTGTGCACACAGACTGTTTGATAACTATTAATGCATATGTAAAAAATAATCAAATATTCAATATAGATATTACAGATATTACAGAATCATGATTACACAATTTCATGTGCTGCATTCAATCTCGTTATAGATATCTAATATAATATCTATGATGTAGCAAAATTCATTTTATTAACAAACAATAAAATTCATTATTATCATTTCCATAATTTTTGTACTATTTGTTAAAACATTTTGAAAATAAATCATTAATTTAAAACAAATTGAAAATTTCTTCCATTTTACATTATTATCGCATAATTTTGATAATAAACATATCGATAAGAAGAATAACAGATTGAGCAATAAATCGTGCAACCAGCGTCAACAAAATTTACAAAATAAAGAAAATATTGAAGGTATAAGATTTTTCTTTCCGCAACAAGATTGAAAAATATTGTCAAGAAATTGCATGTATATAGATATACGTATATATATATATACGGGGTGCATTTATATTTTCTGCGCACAGTGCCAACGGTGTGTCATTCGTGTTTGGATTCCGTATTATAATGAAATATTATACTCACCGTCGAGGAGAGAATTTCATGGGGGCAGCAGGCCAGCAAAAAACTCTTGCAGACTTTCGTGTCGGAGTATTTCACTTGAAATTTGTTATTTTCACCTGCGAACAAATCGAAAAGTTATCAGTGGCGGTGCAACGAGCCGAGATGAAATACCGAGCAAGTGCGTAAGACGCGAAGTGCTGCATTGTTAACAAGTATGGCCGCGCGATCTCGGCGGTTATGAGTCGCGAGAGCCCGCAAGGGAGATCGCTCGACTATCGCGACTATCACTATCGTGCGATGCCGTAATAACAACGGTAGCTAGATGCGAGATAACTCGTGTACCATTTCGTCCTGTGCCCATTAACTGGTCGAGCAAAGCTCGCATTTGATCGTGCGCCGTCATTTCTCGTGTCGCTTAGATGTGCACAACCTCTCAAAGGCACGCAAGCTGAACGCCAGACCGAATTACGCTACGCCGCGACGGCCACGCCGTCCGATCGCGCACACACACACACATACGCGCACGCGCACGCACACCTGCCGACTTTCGGCCGACCACAGCGCCGCGCCGCGGCGTTGCCGATGACCGCGCTTCCACGGCGGGATGGCTGTCCGACGAGCTGATTGGCTGGCGAGTGGGGATTTTCGAATTGGACAACTCCCAGCCAATATGATCGTTCGGACGAGCATCATGAAGTGCCGTGAAAATGTTGTCTTTCGATCGATCGTCGTCTAGGGAATTGACGTTGCGGGCGATCTATCGAACGACGAGTTCGCCATTTTGTCGGCAGAGAGGGCAGGAATTTTTAATAAATTGTAATAGACGTTATATGAATTGATCGCGTGATCTTCTAAGTGCAATTGTATGGATTTTTCTCCCGCAATGTTGTAATATTTTGTTAAAGAGAATAAATTTTTATTTCAGATACCATTTATTTCAAATATGGTAAATTATTTAAAAAACAGATCTGTCTTCTTCATGCGCCAATTTCTATTTTATTATTTTGAGGACAAAAATGCTGTTAATAAAATTATAAAAATATATTTGTATAAAGATTATACGGGTTTATTATGTTCTTTCAAGACTTTAAATATCGATAGGGAAGGAGAGAGCATCAGGATTTACGCCGACAAAGCTCCAACGGTATTTAAACCAGGGGGTGCTCGGCGACTCGGAGTGCAATGACCGGCGGCCCTCCTCGAGAGTTTAAATCAAATTATATACTTCCGTGTACAATGTCTAACATTAAAACTTGTCTACTTGTTTTACGACTATTATAATCATAATATTGACAATAAGTGTAATTTTTTCGTTTAAATTATAAAATTTCGCATATTAATTACTACAAAATCGCATATTAATTACTACAAAGAGAACCTTTAAACTTTCTTCATCTTTCTTCCATTTTAATATAAAATTATAAAGTAAAATTAATTACTAAATATTTTCAACGACTACAATAATTTTATATATGTTTATATTATTTTATAATTTTTGTAATTGGCACGGCCGACATTTTCGTCTGTCGTTTCGTTAGTCGAATAAATCCAAATAGTTGGCGGTCGAATTACATAATAATTCCCGAAAATTTCTCAAGCCAAGCTGAACGATAGTCGCGCGCAGAAACCATATGCAGGAAAGAGAGACGGTGCAACCAGTAGCAAAGGTGGTGGCGATGATGGTGGCGGTGGTAGAGGTACCAGGACTCCGCGCTCTCGATCGTGACCTGAGAGCGAGCGAGTAAATGCAGCGAGCAAATGCAAAAGCGAGACCGAGGGATTAACCAGCATAGAGGAGGAGGAGGAGGAGCAGGAGGAGGAGGAAAGACCTCGGTACTACGAGAAGCAAAGGCGAGAGGAGGATGGAGAAGCGAGCAAAGACGAAGTAGTAGGTGGACGAAGAGGAGGTGATGGCGGTGAAGGAGGAGGAGGAGGAGAAAAAGAAGAAGGAGGAGAAGGAGGTGGCGGCGACGTTGGTGGTGGTAGGAGAACCAGCCTCCGCCAGTCCATCCACGTGTTCAGTGTAGTTGCGCGTTATGACCCGGATGTTAGATCGTAGCCGCAGTTTCGCGAGAACCTGCCGACCCGGATGTCCTCCCGCTCGTTGTCCACCAGTGATCGACCACTGATGTCTTCCTGGCCACCGAAATATGTTCAATCGGTAAGTTACGGCCGCGGACCAACAAATCGTCCTCATCGCCGTCATCGTCGTCGTCGTCGTCGTCGTCGTCGTCGTCGTCGTCGTCGTCGCTGGAAATATCGCCTCGTACTTCGGCGGGGACCATCGAATTCTGAATGTTGTACAATACAATGAGTCGCATTAAAGATCATCTCTTTTGTATTACTCCCCGACCGGAATGAAATCTAATAAAAATAATATTAATCGCTGGAGTTGAATGGAGAGCCTGGTCCTCTTCGCGGCGATTCATGCGGGGGGTGAGTTCACCCTCGCGATCGCCGAGATACTCTGTATCGGGCGGTCGGTTCCGGGGTACTCCTCATCGAAGTACGAAATATCGCGACTCCGGGATGATGAAGTGGACAGTGGCTGGCCACCGACGGTCTCGTGTTCGCGAAATGACACCGGAAGGCATGCGCGGCGCGACACGCACGTGCGTGTCGCACGCGCGTGTGCCACGGCAAATGACGGTAACATCAGAGTGTGCTTGAAGGATAGATGCGAGCAAGTCTACGAAAGGCGCCAGCAAACTTCGAAGGGACCTGATAAACGCCGAAATCGCGAATCTACGTGACTTACTGCCGTTACCGCCCTCGACACGCCAGAGGCTTTCCCAGCTGCAGCTTATGGCCTTGGTCTGTGTGTTCCTGCGAAAAGCCAACTACTTTCAGCAAGGTATAGTAAACGGGCGAGCTTGCCCTTTAGAGCCTCTTAAAGCTTGCATATTTAGATCTTGAAGCTTGCTTCTTTAGACCTTCCTTTCTTTTTACGCAAGTAAGTCTCTCGAAAAGTTGTAAATAGATCGATTTCCTTTGCTATAATTTCTATATAAAAAAAATTATTGCTGAAAGATTTAATTCACAGCGTTGGAAGCAACGTGTGATATTTACCGTCGAGATTTTTCTAAACTTCCAAGTTGCAATGCGAAACGTTGAAATATTAATATTCAATTATTGAATATGCAAAAGATATTTTGCAATGCGCATACGTATTATAAAAAAATTATTGGAGTCAATGAGAAACTATCGCAGATCAATGCATAATCAACAAAATTGAATAAAATATTGACGTGAACGTATATTTTTTTTGATGATTCCAAGATAACTATTCCTTATTATCGAGAATTGTTTGGTTACTTTGAAAGTTCGGTTTGCTCGCGTTTGGTGTTGAGAGAACCGCGATATGATACGCGCATCGCGTTACACAGGCTCACAATTTGTTAGTCTATAAAACAAGAAACGGTGATAAAGCAAGTCCATTGGGATATCGCGATTACTATATCTTTACAGTAATTCGCATCCATCGCGGTCGAGACTTCAATGCCGGCAAGCGCTCGTGCCGTGCAATTCCCCGCGTCTCTACTCTGATATTTCAGCGAGCGCATTGGTACTCGCGATCATTATGTACTGTGCTATATATAATGATCGCGATACGTTGTACAGACCATCAAACATGCCGAATTAGCAGAGATTGTTGTCTAAGAGTCATTAATAAATTGCCACAATAGTAAAAATAATAAAAATAAAAGTCTTTAAGTCCGAGCGATAATCGATTAAACCAAATACAAATAACGACAATAAATTTGTCGATATCTATACCTTTTGTTACTTCTACAATGAAAATATATGCTCAAATTAGTCATAAAAAAAAATAAAAATTATATTGTAAATATAAAAATTATATTATATAAATCAGTCGTATAAAAATTATATTTTAAATAAAGAGTTTTTACTTTAAGACTCTTCTTATACAGAGTTCTTATACAGATCACTCTATGAAAAGCAACTGAAAAACTATTGACAATTAAAAATTGCAATGTCGATTAAAAAAATAATGAGAACAATTGAAATGTTAATTTAATACATTTTATGTTTTATGATTTTATTTTATGATTTCGATCGATTTTGGTCTATTTTGATGAAGAAATAATGATGTTCGTTTCCAAGCAAGTAACGAGAAAACATGCAAAAGAGGAGGTCGCAAAATGTTGCAGTTTAATCCTGAATTTTAACTGCCAGATATGGAAAGCGTTATTATTCTTAATCGAATATTTCTTGATCACGCTTGCATTATTGATTAAGTGCTCGCTCCAATCCGAGATATTTGCCGAATTTGGAGAATCCTCTACGATTCTTTCTCTCCCCGTTGTTCAATCTCTCCTCGCCTTGACGGTTGTAATCGGCTGGCGACCCGCTCAAACGATCCGCGCAAAGGAGAATTTCTATTCGGTTGCGGGAGTCGGCCGGGTAACCCGGCTGTAAGCTTCTCGTAGACATGGAGAGAAACGGCGGGGAACGTGCGGTATCTCGGTGGGTACCAACAACAAGAGAGAGACTCGAAAGAGAGAGGAGAGGAGAGGAGAGGAGAGGAGAGAGAGAGAGAGAGAGAGAGAGAGAGAGAGAGAGAGAAGACGAGAGA